CTGCAAGGAAATTAAAAACTTATGAGTGTTTTGTCACATATATCTTTTATTAAGCTAATCTAATTAGGTCCCACTTTTATTTAAATCCTATGCTTCCTTGGATGAAGATTCAGAAATTTCGCTAGATTAAAATTTTTAGTGGGGAATCAAATTCTTATCAAATTTAATAAACCTCATATAATAGAAATCTTGGTCCATTAAATTCAATAAGTAAGAAACTACTTCCTTTTATATCACCATATAAGTTATGATTCATTTCATTGCCTCTAGTTTCAGATACCTCACATAATAGAAATTTTGGTACTCTAGACTAGTTAAATCCAACCCATTATACTTTCTTAAAATAGAATTTCTATTATACATTCACATAATAGAAATCTTGGGTACAATGAAAAATTATATCCAAGAACTAAGACAATCAATTCTATGTCATAAAATTAGTATCCCTCACATAATAGAAATCTTGGGATCTCTAATTCTATGGCAAAAAATTAATTGACTCATAATTAAAGGCTTAGACTTAATATTTTAATTAGAGAAGATTTAAAGATTAGGTTTTGTTTTAGGTTAATGTTTTAATATCTTCCCTATACATATCCACCATATGTATCAACTAATTATAAAAATATAAACCTCAAACTACAAACCTAAAACTAAATGTCATGCCATAAAATTAAGTTTCAATACTTCATATAAATATTAAAATTTAACTGTAAATAATGGCATAATTAATATGCATAAATCATACAAGTGTATTACATGCTTAAATACGACATCACATGTTATCAAACATAACAAATATGTATTATGTTAATAAAACACATATGTATATCTCATATATCTCATATATCTAATAAATTGCCCATTAATAATCATTAAAAAAAAAATGAACTTTAGGGGATAATGTAACACTTACATTAAATAAGCAATTATACAACCAACATTTGGCAATGAAAAGTTTGTGAATTAAATTTATGTTTATCTTATCACATGGCATATTAATAAACATTAATGATTAATCCAATTAATTTTATCAAAGACATAATTAATAATTAAATTGTGTTCACACTATCTTTCCATGTTGTTGGCACAAAGACAATTTCACCCTTAACTCTTTAAGGCAAATTATCTTAATTCTCATTGATGTCCATTAAATCCCATATTTATCAAACATAATGTAACATGACAAATTACGCCAAAGATGATCAAACAACCCTTTTTGCACCTAATTAAAAAATATGCAATAATTTCTCACATGAACAAAACTCATCTCCATGCATCCATGAACATTTCAATTACTATTAAAACATTAAAACTTTTTGAATTATCTAAACAAGTATGCTAATTAATCAGCAATTAATTTACAAACTTGTCATGGCCAAAATTTCACATAATCAAAATTATGTGAACAACATCAATTTTCGTCAAAATTTACATATAGCATCCATACAATGTCCTAAACACCAAGAATCATATTCTTCAAGCCATAAATATTGAACAAGCAATATTTTAACCCAAATCTCATTTGGCCAACTTCAATAAAAAACTAAAATTTCAATTAAATCTTGATGTTTGTGCCATAACCATCATGTTTTTCAAACAAAGATCATAAGAACATAAAGTGCAATTAAAAATTTTAAAACTTAAGCCATGACCGAATTTTGCTAGTTAACTAACATGATCTGGCATATGAAGGATACACATGTATGGATCTACAATTCTTACAAAGCAAGTTAACATATAACTTCACAAATCAAAATTTGTAAAATTACACAACATTATTCAACATATGAACATGCACTTTTTGGCCAATTTTAGATAAATAAGAATTAAATCCTTGGCTCTGATACCATTTGAAACTTGGAATGCATGCGATACTATATATATATATATATATATATCTTAGTATTTTGTAAAAAAATTCAATCAAATTGAAAACAAGTAAGGTATGGCTTGTTACCTTAAGTCCTTAGCAACCTTGGAGACTTTTAGTTTCAAGAGAAATTAAACAAAAAGTATCCACACTAAAGTAAAAGAAGAATTAGGCCAAGAAAGACATTTAGGGTTCTTAGAAATTTTTGATCTCTACATTAAAATTGATATATCTTTTTCTTTATATATGTAACCTTGTAAGCAATTCAATAATTGTTTTGGACTTCCTTAAACAATTCCGTAATTGTTTTTGGAGTTGTAAATAATTCTATAATTATTATGAAGTTATTAAACTTCTTTAAATAATAACATTGGATTAAAATTTAATCACAATTAACAATTTAACTCTTAAATTATTTACATAACAATTTAACCCTTAAATTGTTTATATGTTTACAATTACAACCCATTGTTAAATTCAATTTAATACAAAGAAAATGATTAATTATGAATTGGAATTCCATTTAATTCCAATTAGCAATTTAACTCTTAAATTATTCATAATAATTAATATAACCATCCATTGAATCAAATTCAATAATAATAATATAAATAACTTTATTACCCTTAATAGGTGCTAGCCAACCTTGGATAATCAATTCTCTTTGGCTATTTCTCCATTCTCCTTAGTTTTTATGTGTGGCCTTTTAGGTTTACTGTGGCTTAGCTGTGGGCCCAATATTATAGTCTATTCCGATATGTTTTGTCATAACTCTTTATGAACAAAACTCCTACCGATTATGGTAGGCATCTAACAATGTTCCATAACCCCTAAGTCATAATGAAGATATACTCCAACAAACCCTTTTATAACCATATGCCATATGTAATCAAATCTTTTCGTTGTCTAATCCCAATTAAGAATGAATTCATGGTATGTCAAAATCCTTATCTTAATTTATATCAAATTAACAATCAATACATATGGAGCATATCACCATGAAACAACCTTTCAGGTAACATTTTATATACCCCGGCCAGAGATTTTCCTTTTCCAATGTATCTTGACATTTGTCTAGGAACTTGATATCAATCTATACCAAGTCAACGGATCCCATCTTGACTATCACTTGTCTTCACACATAAACAACACATGGCCAAATCGGCTTATTAACACATGACATGATTAGCCTCGTGTTTATACACCATATGAATCATATGCATTTATGCAGAATCCAATCGTGATATCTTAGGTCTAAGGATTATTAGTACACTAGTACGATCTTATGATGCATCATTGACTACATTTTAAATGTCTATGTGATTCATCATAAATGGCCATATTCGATAAACAGTTCACTAACCGCTTATCCATGCTAATGCCTTAGTGATATAGCTTTTATAATCACCCACACTAATACCATTACATGATATTTAACAGAGGCATTCAACATGTCTACTATGTAATATTATTGCCCAATTAATATTACCTATGTAGGGAATACTTTGATGATTTTGATCTTTTAAAGATTTAATCATCTGAACATTTCACATGTAATACATATAGATAAATGAAGCAATAAACCACATGTGAAATAAGAACACTTTCTTTTATTAATAAGATAAAAATGTATATACAAAATATATACATTAACATATATATATACAAAGCATAATACCTTGGAACCGACCACAGGATTGGTTCCTAGGGCATACGCTAACATATATATACTAGATCGCTTAAACGAGAGCTGAATTGCTTAAGCGATCTTGTTTTTTATATGGATTATTTGACAACCCCATATTAAGTAACGTTAATGTTAACTTGGGATGTTCACAACATCACAAGATTCGGGAGAAAAGAAGGAAATTAGCCTTGATCGCTTAAGCGACATCGGTTATTAACATATATTAAGGCCATTTATGGAGGATTATTTGACACTTTATTTCTATTAACACATATTAAGGCTATTTAAGAAGATTATTACCGTTAATTTATACCCCTGACATTCACAACATCAAAATATGACAGCTCTGATATGTGACTAACAACCCTATGATACATAGAGAAATGTCATAGCACACTAGTGCGACACATTAGTAGAAACGTACCTCATTTCATAAATGTGGATGGTATGATTGAATAGACAGCTGACCCACATTACGGAATATAATTTCTCACTCAAACGTTCACAGTATCAAAAGATTGAGGAGAAAAGAGGCAAATTGGCCTTGGTCGCTTAAGCGACGTAGGCTATCACTTAAGCGATCACAGCTTATCTATGTTGGATTGCTTAAGCGAGAGCTGACATTGCTTAAGCGATTGTGTATTTGAGAAGGATTATTCTAAGTACAAAAGCAAATTACCCTTGATTGCTTAAACGATGTCAGATCTCGCTTAAGCGATCCTATACAAATAAGTCATGATCGCTTAAGCGATAGTCTACGTCGCTTAAGCAACCAAGACCAATTTTCTTTGTACTTGACTATTCCTTCTCAAATTCAAGATTGCTTAAGCGATGCAGCTTTCTTTTAAGCGATTCAGTGTATATAAGCCTTGATCGCTTAAGCGACCAAGGCTAATTTGTGTTTAAATAATCATCAAGTACACGATTGCTTAAGCGATATCGGCTCTCGCTTAAGCGATCCAGTATAGATAAACCTTGATCGCTTAAGTGACCAAGACTAATTTGATAATCTCATAAAGTACTCATCAAAACCATTAAAATTGTTTTCTGATTCACTAATAAATGTTCAACAAATTAAGAGAAAAACTTATAAAACAGTAGCCTAAAAATTTGTCAACCAAGATCCTCACTCACCAAACAATCAATTAAGAGAAAAACTGAGGAAATTATATTGATTAATAGGATGCAAATACAATAAAGAAATCTAGAAAATGATAGTTCCAGCAATTCTAACATTTCCCAAAATAACAACCTACCAAAACATGCATTTTGTCTCAACTAAATGCACTTTCAATCCCTACTCTAAAGATTCCATGGATCCGGCCAACCCTTTCTAACTAAATACACTTTCTACTACCTAAAAAACACAACCAAATCTATTCCATGCTTTTGTATCTCCACTAGCTTCAGATGCCTTCCTTTCTTCCTCCCTTCGTTGCTTCAAAGTTTTTGAACCATTAATAGACAAATTGCTAGGTCTAAGAGAAATCTAACTATTTCAATGTTGTCTTCATAAACTGCAACGTGGAGAGCAGTGGAGCCATTTTTCCTAGTTTCTGTGATAACCCTTCCATGGCGAACAATTTCTTTAAGTAATTCTAAGTCGTTCTGCTCAGCGGCAGTACATGCAAAGTGACCCATATCTCTAGAATTAAGGTTTGCACCATTTTCCGTAAGAAGTTTGATCACATGTTCATGACCACCCAGCATTGCATCCCATAATGGTACATTCCCATCCGAGTCTGCCATATGTGAAAATTAAATTTAAATCACTTTTGAAATATTTGCAGGACTAATTACACTTAGCAGATGCATGAAGACGAGTTTAAATCCTCAATCCCAAAATATTCTAGGTTGAATATTATATTAAGTAATCATTTACTTGAATCGTAAATGAAAGGGGAAATTTATCTAAAGTGTAGTAGGAAGAATATGGCAACTCAACAACACAGGACACCTAATAATATGGGGCCATTAAAAAGAATTACAATGTGGTAGGATCAGGTGCATATTTAAGTAATATACGGTTGACTATAGAAGCCTCATATAAAAAGTTGAAATAGCATATCAGATAGAGCGACCTCATGACAAGGACAAGAACACACTGCAAAGAGTTTTTAAGTCAACAAACTGAAGATCCTAGCTCAATAAATTTATTGATATTATTTTGAACTAGATATATAAGTTGAAAGTGTAATTCTAGCTTGACAGATTCATAGTGACTAACTGAAGATCCTCAAATAGATTTGTAATTTCATTGACATTAGATTTGGATGATGCCAAATAAAAAAGTTGTTTTCCCAGTCTGTATCATTTAAATTATCTTTGATGTTCAACCTTTTAGCCATCTCTGACTCATAAAAGCTTTCCTTCAAGTTATCTTCGTAGTGTGAGTTCACCAGCTGCTTCACCTTTTCCATCAACTTCTTGTCTATTCCATGGTTCTCAACCTGCAAAAAGCATTTTCGTATTAGAATGAAGTGTTGATCAAATATTCAAATAAAGAAAACCCCATCTTTTTTACCTGAAAGAAGCCCCATTTCTCACAAGCTTGATGCAGAAGTTCTATTGTTTTGTCCCTCTTCTCACCTTCGAGATCATTGAAATCTATCACAAGGATCTCCATTTTTAGATTTGATCAAACACAACCCAAGAACCTAAACCACTAAATAGAAATAATAACCCAAACTCACTCCATTAAATCTTTGTAAATAGAAATACAAAATAGAAAGAGGAGAATAGAAATATAAAATACAAAGAGGAGATACACATACCTGGACGGGGGCAGATGATTAAAAGGCCATATTGGCCTTGAATTTAATTAAAATGTTAGGTAGTTTTTCAGTCTTTACTAAATGACCTGATTTTTTATTAAGACAAATTAATAACAATTAAACACTAATCATGAGTTAATTAAGATTAATGAAGACATTGAGTAATCTTTCCAAAATTATACTTTGTAGCAAACCCAAATCAAAGAAATTGCTCCCTTCCCTCCTGCCATTATCGTCGGAACAGCCCTCCTGTTGCTATTTGTTCTTAGCAAAACCGAAGCCCCTTCTCCTCCTTCTCTACATCTTCTTCTTCCTCTGCCATTAACATCTTCTCCGCCTAAGATTTGTTTCCTCCTCCTCCTGACATTTCGTCCAGGTAGGGCTTAATGAGACCTCTTTGGATTTGGTGATACATTTATTCCACTTAGGAATTAGAGGTTGTTTGGTTGAGGGTCATCCTCAGTTACTGAGGTAACGTTATCTTATATTACCATGTTTGGTTGTCAAATAATATAAGATTCTAGTAATCTTCCAAAACCAATAGTAATCACTATTAGTTATATATGTGGTAATCTAATTACCTCCATTTTCTTCAGTATTTTAAAATTACTTGGTAATATTAATTTTCAGAATGTCAAAGAAAATGAGAGTGAAGTTTGACAAGTATTATGGGAGTTTTGATAAAACCAACGTGATGGTGCTAATTGTAATAGTATTAGATCCTTTGTATAAGATGAAATATGTGAATTTTTGCTACAAAATAATTTATGCCAATGACTTGCAAAAAGCTGGGATGATGTCTAGAATCATGAAAGATGTGTTACAACGATTGTATAAATTTTATGAACAACATGCATCAAGTTTAGAAGAAAGTCAAGCTTCCAGTTCCTTTCACACCATGAGAATTCTTCAGTCTTGGGCTACTGGTGCATGTTGTGATGATAGTGATATCGACCCCCTCATGGAAGCATATTTGGAGGAGATGGAAGAGAAATACATGATGAAACAAAACAAAGTTAGAGTAGTACCTTTCGAGAAATGTGAACCCGTTAAGAGTGATTTGATGTCTTGAATTGGTGAAGTAAATACATGCAAGTATAAGGTTCTCTTGGTATAAGGTTCTCTCGCATATGGCAAAAGATTGTCTTTGAAATTTCGGTGTCCACAGTTGCTTCCGAGTCAGCTTTTAGTACATCGGTCATGTACTTGATTAATTTGGAGTTGTTTAACTCCACATGTTGTGAGCCTTAATTTGTACACAAATTGGTTAAGATTAGGGTGACACGGGTAGCGGGTAGAACCGGAACCGGGGGTAAACCGAACCGAACCGGAACCTACCCAGAACCTGCACTGTGCGGTTAGGTTCCGGTTCCAATTTTTTGGAACCGCTACTGCGGTTCCGGTTCCGTTCTTACCCCCGGAGGAACCGGAACCGGAACCGACCTTTAAAAGGGTACCCTGTTTGGAACCTGTAGGGGTACCCTGTTTGGAACCTGTTTGGAACCTGTTTTGGAACCTGTTTTGGAACCTGTTGGAACCTGTTTGGGACCTGTTTTGGAACCTGTTTGGAACCTTTTTGGACCTATATTGGAACCTGTTTTTGGAACCTGTTTAGAACCTATTTTGGAACCTGGACTATAATGAATATTTGTGAAATGTAAATAATGGGGGAGTTTCTATTATTTTACATATAAAAAATTTAAAATAGAAAAAGATAATTTTTAGAATAATCTAATTAATAAATATACGAATACAATTATACTTATTACATATATTACACCATAAAGCTTTATATATTATAATACATTAATATTAAAGTTTTGTCAATTAATGAATAATTAGAATTATGATCCAATAAAAGTTGTTTTACATTTTTAATGTTATAAAAGAATTATTTTTGAATAAATAGTATATTTGATTAAGTAATAATATTTAGTTATTTACTTCAATTATCAAGTCAGTAATCTATAATAAATTAGTAATTAATTATTATATATAGATAAATTGATAAACATTATAAATTTAATTACTAGTTAAATATCATACTTAATCAATTATAACATTACATTATAGTTAAATGATTACTTAATTAATTATAATTTTATAACATTACTTAATTGATTATAGTTAATTAATTATACTTACATTAATTGATTACTACTTAATTAATTGACTTTATTATAAACATTATTACAAACTTAATTAAATGATTAAAATTTAATTAATTATAATATTACTTAAAAATTTATAGTATGATTATTTAATAGTTAATTAACTATAACATACATTATAGTATGTTATAACTAATATACCTTACATAATTAAATAATTACTTAATTGATTAGAGTTATGATATTATATTTTAAACATTAGTATTACTAATTTGCTATATAAACATTAGCACATACTTAATTGAATGATAAGAAATTTAATTATTATAACATTACCTTATAAACATTTTATTATAAACTAATTAACACATTACATATAGTTTAAATATTACTCAATTAAATTATAATATATTATTTACATTATATATTATGATCACTTACTTAATTATAGCATTACATAGTTAAATAATACATAATTACATAATTAATTATGAATTTATACATTACATATAATATTACAATTTACAATTTACATATTATTCCATTACTTAATTAAACATAAAAATTTAATTAATTAAACATTACCTTATATATTTATATAAATTACTTAATCAATTATAACATTCATTATAAACATTAGTATATTAATCAAATGATTTGAAATTTAATTAATTATAATATTAAATTATAGATTATAGTATGATTATTTAATTCATTATAACATTACATTATACTATTATAGTATGATCTATAAGTAATTAACATTACATAATTAAATAATTACTTAATTGATTGAGTTTATGTATTATATTTTAAACATTAGTAATTACTAATTTACTATATAAACATTAACACAATACTTATTGAATGATAAGAAATTTAATTAATTATAACATTATCTTATAAACATTTCATTATAACATTAATTAAGCATTTATATAGTTAAATAATTACTCAATTAATTATAATATATATTACATTATATTATGTTACTTACTTAATTATAGCATATATAGTTAAATGATTACATAATTACTTAATTAGTTATGAATTTATAACATTACTTATAAACATTAGTAATTAACTATTATTACATTACTTAATTAAACATTAAAAATTTAATTAATTATAACATTACTTTATATATTTGTAATATGATACTTAATCAATTATAATATTCCATTATAAAACATTAGTATTAATTAATGATTTGAAATTTAATTAATTATAATATAAAATTATAGATTTGTAGTTGATTACTATTCATTATAACATGAACATAACTATTTATAGTTGATCATATAATTAATATAACATTACATAATATATTACTTAATTAATCATGAATTATGATATTATATTTTAAACATTAGTAATTACTATTTACTACATAAACATTAGCACAATACTTAATTAATGATAAGAAATTTAATTAATTATAACATTACCTTATAAACATTAATTAAGCATTACATTATAGTTAAATAATTACTCATTAAATTATAATATTATTATTTACATTATATTATGATCACTTACTTAATTATAGCATTAATATTTAAATGATTACATAATTACTTAATTAGTTATGATTTATAACATTACATTATAAACATTAGTAATCTACTATACTATTACATTACTTAATTAAACGATTAAAAATTTAATTAATTAACATTACTTTATATTTGTAATATGATTACTTAATCATTATAACTTTCATTATAAACATTAGTATATAATTAAATGTTTGAAATTTAATTAATTATAATATTAAATTATAGATTTATAGTATGTTTTAATTCATTATAACATTACATTATACTATTATAGTATGATCATAATTAATATAACATTACATAAT